CCCCCCCCCCCCCCTTTAACAGCGGAGCTGGACCTACTTTGCGCTTGGTGGAAGCCTTGCAGCGCAGCCGGCCCCCCTGCAGGTGGCGCAGGTGCTCTGGTGACAGGAGCGCGCTGCAGATTGGGCCGTCTGAGGAGGAGGGGGAGGAGCTCCACCCCCCCCCCACACCCGCCGCGGGGCCGGAGGCCGGGCGCAGCCTGGAAGCCCCAGCGGTGCAGGTGGAGGTGCTTGGGAAGAGGGGGGAGGTCCCTGGGAAGAGGGGGGACGTCCCTGGGAAGAATTTTAAAAGCCAAGCCTCAGTTCAGTATCATCAGTGAGCAGATAAACGCGTGCTGAGAGGCCGGCGGCCGGTGGGCGGAGCTTACCCGGTGTGCGGCGGGAGAGGCGGGGGTCCCGGGGGCTGTGGCTCAGCGGGGGGTGGTAGATGTAGACAGTGTTGGGAGGCAGGGAAGCTCTCAGTGTGGAAAGACTACGGGCCGCCAGCTCCCGGCTGCGAATCAGCTCAGAGCTGTCGATCTGCGAAGGAAAGGAGCTCTGAGTGGAGAGCAGGATAGATCTCTGTGTGGTCGCCTGCAAATGTTTGGTTTTTCCTATCGAAAAGGTGACCTCTTTCTTAACGGAGTGTGAAGGCTGTCCTAGTGGCTTTCTTACTCTTTTTGCGGTTGCTAAGCGCCCCCTGCTGGTCTCCTACTCTCTCTATGGCTTTTTGATTCCTGCTCTTTTCCAGCAGAGACATTAAGCGGTACAACAAGAAAATAAAATAAAATAAAACTACAGGCATCGTATAAACAGGCAGCTGTTTCTAATGTTTGTCAGCTTCCCTTTTAGAGGCAGATAACACGATTCAATTTGAGGAACAAATGAAACCTTCCTCACTTGCCACCACACAGAAGCCTTCTTTACTTCAGTCATATAACTGTTAAATACATTTTTTGTTCTCCTGTCTGAGGCCACAATGTTACAAAATGTATCAATAACCAAAGATGATATATAAAGCTTATATGGAAATCTCTCCCAGTAACACTGGGTAGCAATTTATCTGATACCAGCTAAATAAAAACAACAGTGTTCAACATATAAACGAATTAGAAAAGAAGCTAAGTGAAATCCTATTTTTAGACCGTGATATTTCTGACTGACGGACTGGTGGAGGACAAAAGAAGAAGAGGGTTTGTAGGCCTGCCAGTGAGGCCGAACACGGCGGCTGGACAGACCTGCGCCTTCCTCAGCAGGTCTATGGTCAGAGCCAGCCAGTCGGGGCAGCAGGTCTCCAGCTCCAGGGTGATGAGGGCCAGTGCCAGCATGGATCCTGGGAGCTGTGGATTAGGGGGAGAGAGCGGCTCAGCTTTGGGCGGAGCGTCAGCGGCGTGCGTTTGGCGGCCGTGCGCGCACCTGCGTGAGCGTGTGGTCGGCCAGACAGTGGTACAGTCGGTGTGTGAGCAGGGCCAGATGCTGAGACCGGTTCAGTCCCAGAGCGGCGTCCAGGAAGCCGGGGCGACTGGACCACACCATGGCGTGGAACTGTGGGACGAGGAGAGACTTAACCGGTCGCTCTTACTTTTAAACACTGACCAATTCTTTAAGACGGAGAAAAATAATTCAGCCAGTATCCATCACAGTCACTCTTCTTTTATGTTAAGGACCTATTATTATTACTATCATTATCACTTATTTTAAATCTATGTTTAGATATATGAATATATACACATAGCTACATATGTAATATGTATGAATATATATATTCATTTATATTTTGTGTGGAATGTTGTGTATACATATATATATGTAGACATGTATATATGTATATGCTGTTGTATATCTGGAGTTGGTAACAAAAATAATTTCCCTCTGGGATTATTAAAGTATTTCTGATTCTGATTCATATGGAAATAAGATCGAGTGTGTGTGTGTGTGTGTAAGATGTACAATGTGCAGGAAATCCAGCGCCGTGGCGGTCAGCAGATCCCAGTCCAGTTTATCCAGGACAATCTTCTCCATCCTCAGGATCTCTGACGGGGAGCAGCCACAGTCGCTGGAGGCAGCAAGCTCCTTCAGAGATGGCACACACTGAAACACACACACACACACACACACACACAGGTCAGGCCCTCTGGGTCATTCGGTAATCGACCAACGCTTATGTGGCTGCTCTGTGCAGCTGTGTGTGCTGGTGCTCACCTCGTCTTCCTCACAGGTCTTGGCAGCCAGGAAGAAGCAGGCGATGGCTATGCAGCGCAGGTATTTTGGACGGGCCTGCACACACACATCCAGCCATCAGAAAATCACCGAGCCCCGGAGAAGATCCACTCCGTCCAAACGTGGGCCGCTTCCGGTCGTCACAGAGTTAAAGGTCAGGGTTCACCGGAAGCTGCTGGTTCCCCGCTCACTGGGCAGGCGGCACTCAAGACCTTATCGTTCTCACCAACTTTGTCTTTTTTCCCCAACCGGCTGATATTAAAGGGACATTGTGGAGTATTTTATTTATTAGTTAAAATCTTTTTCCTAATTTCTAAATGTGTCCTAATTTGATGTAAAATTACCTCTGCAATGATCTGACTTCTCCTCATAGGGAAGAATTTCCTATCTGTATATAAACAGGACAGGTAAGTCCAAAGAGGTTTCCATAGAGATCCGCCATTTTGAAAAACTGTAATGGCAGAGGGACATAAAGCCTTAGTCTGCCGGTCTAGCTAATCCACAACACAGTTTCCTTCAGAACCAACGTCATGTGGCTGAAACTTCTTTTAAATTAATTATTTTTTTTAATGAATTCAATGAATGAATTAGAATTTTTAAATTATAGCCCGAGAGAAAACCGGATGACATGGAAGTCATGTTGTCATTACTTCTTGATGCATGGTGGCTATCGTAGCTGCCGTACCCATTTGGAAACGTAGGCACTAGAGAGCAGATTTGTTAGAATTCAAAATGCTATTTCACCGTTTAATGTCGGTTGACATTTAGATGGGGCCAAACAGTGCGAAATCAATAACAAATTTGACTATAGGTAAGGCAATATTAGTTTTTAATTAAAAAGCTGACAGTGTGTTTCCATGGAGAGCAATAGAGAGGTCCAACTGTAAGTTTCTGCTCTCAGAAAAGCAGCAGGGGTTCACTCAAACAAAACCCTGGTACGATTAGTAGCTGTAGGACAAATACAAACACACCAAGCAGCAGCATGCGTTAGCCTTGTGTTGGCTTCTAATTCACTGAGCACGTTTGGTCCACCTAGTGGTATAAAATGATCAAATTTTAGTCTCTCCTTTTAAGGAGATCGAATTTTGTTTCCAGCACATTAACATATAATCTAATCTTATTGTAAGATACTGTATGACCGATCCCTTCTACTGAAAATGTTACCCAATTTTTTATTTTTGAAAAGCTGAAATTTTAACATTTTCGCAGTGGAAGAACACAGACAGTCAGGATACTGATTTGAAACCATTTCAGTTTTAAAAGGGTCAAAATCTCTGTTTTATAAAGTATGAAATAATCAAACAGGGTTACACATTTTACAGTATGGTTAGAAGATGAGAGGAACATATTTCAACAGATTATTACAAGCCGGTCTATGAAAATGTTAGGTCAATAATGTTAGGTCATTACTGAAACAGAGCTCAGTACTGAACTATCTCTGTAATTTTCATGCAGTTACAAAGAAAAATAAAAGTACTTGGTTCAAACTGAACCCAAAACAACAGGAGGGTTCAATTATTTGTGTGATTTCAAAGCTGAGTTCCATTTAAACAATTTGAACATTGAGACTTGGTGCCTTGTGTTATAAAACCAAACCCTCCACAATAACGTTAAAGCATTTTCTTTCACATTTGAGAGCAACTGTGAGCAAGGGATGACATAAAGCTGCCCACAGTAAAAACCAATGCTACGCGTGTACCTTGATGGGAGCTAGGAAGCGGTCCAGAATGCTAACGGCTAACACCAGGGTCTCTGGGTACAGCCGCAGCCTACCATGGATCTCTGTCAGCCAGCGCACGGCCTCATCCCGCTGGGCCGGAGAGATGTCTGTATCCTGTAACGGCAGAGGAAGAGGACAGCCGTTTACTGTCGTTTGACTTTACCAGATTGATAGAGAGAGAAAACACTTAAAACATCTCAAAGCAGTCTTAGGTGGAAATAAAGGGAAATGAGAAGGAGCCTCTGGAGCTGGTTTTGACAGCCAAGGCAGAAAGACGTTTTATCCAAATAAATTGTGAGCTCATTGGTAACAGGCATCTGTTTACATTAAATATTGGCTGAATGTGTGACAGTGTGTGAAAGTGCTGAAAGAACTGAACTTTTCCTACTTTTCTAATCTTTGATTCCTCTCATTCTGGCCCTCTTTGTCACAGCTTAACATCTGATATTAGCAGCGCAGTCCTTCTTGCTTGTCATTTAATTTTGTATTTTGAGCAATATTTGAAGTCCAGGACTAAAGGTCCTGTGACCCTGTTGGGCAGCTACACAGTGAGCTAACACCGTTTGGGGGTTTAGTTTTTGAACAGTCCAAACGTTGAAACAACTGGCTTGGCAGAGTAACGCAGACTCCGTTTTCCCATGATCCTCCTCTTTCAGTGCTTCCTCCGGGAATGCGAGGCATTCATAGTAGTCAGTTCTCTGACTGTAACTCATTTAGTCCCCCGATCGTGTATGGTGACTTCCCCGGAGGCTTTTCTTTCATCTGGAGGTTTCCCTTTGGCCTCCTCTGTCTGTTTCACCCCACAGAATGAGGCTCACGTTCAGAAACTCTAGCGAGTGCTGGGCCACCAGTTCGAACAGCACAGAATATTGTACAACTTAATGAATTTATTTATTATTTTTAAATAAACAGAGTTTTAGTTTTGGTACCAATGGAAAACTTACAAATGTAAAATGACTAAATCCATTTAAATGTTTTTGGACGTCCTCATGAACAGGAGTTATTTTTAAACATCTGCTAGAACGTAATCAGAAATCCTTCCAGTTTGATGGAAACTGAAAACTGGTAGGGCTTCTGGCTCCTGAGCTACACAGGTCTGACAAGACTACTGTTTCTGATGAGGCTTTCAGGGCACTCCGATTTACAATAACCACAAGCCAACCTTTCCTAGAATGTGAAAACATTCTCAGCTCTTAAAACATCTGGATACAAGCTCAGTGCAGCTTGTAACCTGTTGACAGCCATTCAATCATCTTCAGTGCACACACTGCCGTCCTTACCTACTTCGTCAATGTCACGTGTCTGCAAACAGCTATCTTTTTTTAAACGCTGTGGAAAGACAAACGTCCAGTTCCGAAACTTGTGTCACGTTGACACAGTTTCTCTTTATGGGGCTCCTTCTGTTTTCCAGTTATGGCATAATGAGGAGTTTCAACACAGCGACCCGGGTAAACCAGCAGGATGGTTTGCATACTTGTAGATACATTTAAAAACAGAATTTCTTTGGGTCGTTTAAACATCTAATATCAGGTCAAACCAGAAATAACCACATAGCCTGGAGCTCCCCAGCAGCTCACCATGTAAACATAGACAACAGGAACATCTGAAAAATTCCATGTATGTGCTGTTGTGTTACCACGACTACGGCTGGTGGGGCATTTAGGCTCCGGTATCAGTAAACGCTGCCTCACCTGACAAAAGGGGCCGTTTGCCTAGTTAGAGCAGAAACACGTCCCATCCTCCCCTAAAGCTCAGCTGAACTTTGGCTCCTCAAAACAAACCAAAACAGACCTTCTGATAAGGAGATGAGGACAAACACGACGGGGGGGGGGATACCTGAGCATGGGCGTGTCCGGCTGGAGGTGTGATTCAGCAGCACCTCTATGACGTTGCTCATTTTTGGGACGTTTAAAATATGGGTGAATAATGGGGTTTACTGTCATGTAACCACAATCTTCGGAACTTGCTCTTCCACTTATCAGCCCCACAGAGAGTGATACTTGAGCAGTTCCAGGAACAAACACTTCTTCCTCTATGACGTCCTGATTTGTGCTGCTCAGTGAGAGCTGGGTGAGCAGAAAGGGGTGACTCGCAAACGGTGTTATTACAGGATCACCAAGTGAAGGACAGACGTCAGCAAACATGACGCCGTCTGCAGGGAACTGTGGAAAACCTTGGGCAACGTCTTTACAATCCCTCTGTTATTTCTTCCACCCCTCCTGTTCTGAGTCAAATAATGAGTGAGACGTGTTAGTCAGCTGAGCTGATGTCACCGATAACCACTTCAGATGGTTTCAGATCCGTCTTTCTACACACCGACCGCCCCAAACAAAGTGGTGGCTTCTTCTTTTCTGGACTTGACAACAGATTCTAGCGTCATTCTGTCAGCAGCTTGGAGCTATAAACGCCATTACAGCCAGCCAAAATGCAGATGAACCGAGTATCCGACTTATGAGGATTCAGTTTTTACAGTTTTATAGCAGAATTGGGCTAAAAAAAAGGAGATCCTCCTCTCATTTCTTCAGACTTTGCTTCCAATGACTTAGTTATCTAATGAAGTGCTCTTGAGCAATAGTTCAATGTTTTCGGGAGACCTTTCAAAGATTCCTTTGGACATTGACTGTTGCTTGTTTGTTTTTTTCCTTAAAATGAACTCCCAGTCCTTGTGCTTAAAGAGTCTTATGTCTACAAAGAACAGAAAATTAAGCAAATCAGCAAATCATTAGGTGGCTTTTTCCTTTTTAAACTAAGAGTCTATTACAAAGACACTTGATTAGCTCCCATTTCTTTCATTGCATGCCCTAGAAAATGGCCAAATAGTATTTTTGCAACATTATGATTCTTAAAGAGCAAGAGCTCTTGGCATTTGCCTGCAGTGTGTCCTTGAATACACAAACCTGAAACTCAAAAGAACTGGCAAGCTTTAAAAAAAAATATCCTTACAGGTGGAACAACATCAGACTGTGACGTTCTTTAGAAATAGGAAAATAAATTCAGCAAAGGACTGACAGAAGTCATGACAGATGGCAGGAAGAGCTCATTAGTGAAGAACTGTCAAAAGGGCTTTTTTTAAATGTCTTTTTTTTAAACGGTTGGGAAACTGGGATAAAAAAAAATAAAAAAAAGGTTGAGGTATGACAAGAACATGTTTGCAATGTGGGATCATCTCCACAGAGATCATAACAAGATGCACCCAACACCCAAAGAGGACCTTTGGGATGTCCTTCAAGAAGCCTGGAGAACTATTCCTGAGGTTAAAGAAAGCCCGGTTTAAAAAAAAAATTAAAGGGCTAAGTTTACATCTACGTCTAGTCATTGTGGCTCGGTTCATTATGTCGTCAAACAACATGATGAACTGAGAAGAATTCATTACAAAGCCTCTAAATAGGGTTATTTTTAAACGGTATCCCATTTCCAAAACAAACATAACCTTATACTTGTGTATTGTATTCACATTTATGTCTGCATGCTGACATATATTAATCATAATTATCACCAGCCTTAAGGGAGCAATTGAACTTTCAGGAGAAAAAAAGGTTGACCAAAATTCAAAGAATATTGCTTTCAGAATTTGGTTCTCAAATTCCAAATTCATGCATCCAACCAGATGTAGAGAAGCACAGAAACATGCAGGTGTAAACTGTGTTACGAAAGTATTCAGGGGCCCAAAAAGCCCGTTGGGTCTTTCCACTGATAAGCATATGTTTGGAAGTTGATGTGTTTGTGTTCAGCTCCTGTTAGCGCTCAGCCACAGCTTTAGTACCTGTGAGGAGGGCCTCTTTGGCACGTAGACCTTCCACATCTTGGCTTCCCTAGAGGCTGCCTTTTCTAAAAGAAAAGACAGCCTCTGGCGTTCCCAGGGTTGGGCGAACTTCATTCTGTCCTTCCCTGGTTGAGCCTACCTCCCCACTGGATACAGCTACCTGTGAGGGGACAGAGCAGGTCAGCACAAACCAGCCTCAGCTCCATTTGGCACAGCTGAGGACCATTTACATATATAACCTGAAAAACTTTAAATGTGCCATGTATTTATTCAAAATCTAATAGTGTGACACTTTCAAATTCTGATTTGTATCTCAATTTATAATGACAAGTTATACAAATAAGTGTTGCATTGTGTAAATGGCATAGCTGTGCTTCCTCAGGAAATCATTAAATACACACTGAGCAAGACCTTAAATATGTTAATTATGAGGAAAGGGATTTTATTAAGCTTATCAAATAAAAGCAGTGTTTTGTTTTTTTTTATTTATTTACCTATTACAAATAGGCTAAAACTACAACAATGGTTTGCTGCTATGTTTTTAGAAATGAAGCACGACGAATACATTAGGGGTTCTGGACATTTTGTCCATTTTTATATAAGTACCTGCTTATATATTGTGAGACGGCTCGGCGTAAATGCAATTTCTGGTTGTAAACAGTCACTATATAGAGGCAAATTAAGTGAGGTAGAGCCAACATAACTTTTAGTTGGAAACTACCTTGCACCTCGAAAGAAATTCCAAATTTAGCTCGTATGGCCCCCATAAGCACAGGTGTACTCCTGGGATTCCCTGTGTTATGGAAACGAACCCGACTACTGTCTGGAGCAGAGCTAACTTGACAGCGAGCGTCTCCTCGTAGTCGCTAGCAACTCGCCAGCTAACGCTACCGAAAAGCCAGAATAACCAAAGAATATAAACACTGAAAAGTCAGCTCACTTCATTTCATGTGTTGTCAGGTAAATTGTGGCGTTCGTAGTGTTCATTAAACGCATGCTACATACACCACAGCGACATTTAAATGGCTGACCACAATCCAGCAAGTAGACGGAGCCCGAGGTCTTACCTCCCCTGCGAAGCGGAGAAAACCACAGTTGGGTTTCATCCGGTCTACTCAATTCAAGGAAAAAGAAAAGGGGTTGAATTGAGGACCCACACTCCGTTTTAGTCGTCCATTGTGGCTCCCATGGCACAGATATTAGGGAAAGGGGAATATAAAAAATATATAAAAATAAAAGAACGGAAGATAGACTGGTACGTCTACTTCCGAGGAGGGGCCCTGGGGAAGAGAGCAGCAGTTCCCGCCCACTTCCAAGCAGAACGGGGGTCTAAAACAATTGTACCCTGCACGTCTCTGATATTTCTGCATGGAAATTAAATGAGATATAGCCACAGCTAATTTTCTAAGAAAAACTTGATAAAATAAATTAAACAATTCACTATTTCCCCCAATGTATCCCGATCCATTACACAAACAACATAGGTTAAGTAATCCGTAAACATGTTTTTCGTCTTAAAATAAAAAGATTAAGGTGTTCAGGTGAAGCACTAAAGGGTTATTTGCATCCATTTCGAAGAAAAAAAACAGTTGTTGAATAAATTTATTAGGATTAGCAGATAGCATGGTTAGTGTGCCTGTTTATTATCTAATGTGCTCACTGTAACTTGGACAACAACATAATGCAGGGAGTCAACAAGCTTTAAAGCCAGTAGGTCTTTCTATCTTATCTAAAAACAAACAAAAGAAAAAAAGATCATTTCTTTAGACACTGTGTCACTTGCAGGATGTTTATTTAATTGTCTTATTTTTTCTAAAACTCCTTGCTTGTCTCATATTATCAAGATGTATATTTACATGTAAATATGTAAATGTGTATGTGAGAGACACAGAGTACGTGCACGCACAGCTTGTTTTGTTGAGGACAGTAGATAAAAGTGTCAAACGGCACTACGTAATGTTAAGACTGCGTCAGATTTCCGTATATCCCGGGGCCAATCAGTGCATCCCATTTTGGGCGGACTATTTGAACGCATCAAAAGGCAGCTGACTGATAGGCTAACAGAAACGTCAGTCAAAAGGGGCCTGTCTCACATAACCTACATTCCGTCTGGTCATTACACCGATACTTATCGATTGATTTAGGATCAGTGATCAATCGATAGTGTAACCGTTGATGATTTAGTAAGAAATACTGTGAAAAAATGGCGCCGGAAGGTCGGTTGAAGGCTTAAATTTAGACAGCTTCGGCCGAAAGGAGGCGGTGGCTTGTCTGGAACCCAAGCTTGTGATTGGTTACTACATTTGACACCGAAAAGTGGGCGTGCGTATTCCGAACATCAACAAAAGAGAGAAAAAGAGAAAGAGAAGACGAGAGGAGAAGGATTAGACGATACAGCTGAAGGAAAACAACAGATATGTGGATATAACTCGCAATAACAGGTAAAGCAAACCTCTAAAATATATTCCTGCTTAAATTAGATGACTTACTAAACGTACTTAACGAATGTGTGGAATTAAAGTGATCTTTTTTTAGTACTTAGGTCGTTTTCAGACAGGGGTTCACAGCAAATTGTGATAAGTAATTAAGTTATTTCAGCATTTACGAAAGGTAAGTTTGATTAGACAGCTGAATTTGGTAAATTATTACAGTATTTCTGATTCTGACATCTGTAACCTACTTCTCAGCAATGTTTGAAATCCCATTGAAATGTACTATTTCAAAATCGAGTAATATTCGGTACATTTACTCTAGTTTTCCCTTTTCTTGCCCATATTATAAAAACGGAACGAGAGATATGTCACGGCAGGTTTATATTGTATTGCACAGAGCTTTTTATACTGAAAACCGTATATTCCCCAGATCCTTTTGTTTTTCCTCTAAGCACAAACTGGATTTACCGGGATTAATGATTTAAAGCAAACCAAGCCAGTGGGTTACCTTAATAGTGTTTTAATTTCTAGAAATAGGGTAGGTTTAGGTGGAAATGGTGTTGTTAAGCATCATTTGTTTGTCTGATTCGAAAGGAGCTCCCCTCCCCCACTCCGACCAGAGAGGATTTAAAACGTTAGCTAGCACCGTTTAAACAGAGCTTCCTCGTTTCCGGTATATCGCGTTAAAATGGAACCATTTCGGCGGTCGGGGTTGTTTTTTTGTTAGTTTTACGTCGCCAGTTAGCGCAGAAAAACACGAAAAAGCAGTTGTTTTTTTTCGAACCGAGGACAGAGAAGGCGTCCACCAGAGGAAACCTGACTCCGGAGCCCAGCTGGGGGAAGTGGGCCGGGCCTATGTGGGTTAGGAGAGCAACGGGAGGCCAGCTCCAGCGAGCCAAACACGGGTCAAAAGTTGATTTAAATATCGTTTTCCCCCCCCTTCCTGGACATTACATTTGACCAAATCGATCCTGTGAGGATTCTGGATGGTTGTTTGGGCTTGGTGTAAAGTAGTTTTTTTTTTTTTGGTTAGGATTTTTAAAACATCTAAGAAGAAAAAGAAACAAAAAGTGGCAGATAACCGGTCCCCCCCCCCCTTCCTGGACATTACATTTGACCAAATCGATCCTATTAGGATTCTGAATGGTTGTCTGGGCTTGGTGTAAAGTTGTTTCTAAAAGGATTCTAAAAACATCTAGGCAGAAAAAGAAACAAAAAGTGGCAGATAACCGGTCCTATTGTCAGGAAACTCCCTAACCTTTTTCTTCCACCATGATCTGGGTTGACACTGCTCGAGGCTATTGCAAAAACAAATAATCATCATCCCAAAAAAGAAATGATGTGATGGAGGCTCCTGGAAATGTTAACGTTTTTTTGTTGTTGTTCCCTTTGTCGTTGTAGTGGTCAAGCTGTCTAAAGAACGAAGATAACACCCCCCCCTCCTGTGCCAGCTGAGACATGGATGCCGTCAAGCTGATGAAAGAGCTGCGGGTGAATTATGAGCAGGAGGCTCATTTTCTTCCCAAAGAGGCGGGTCTGAGCCTCATCGAATCCGC